AGCTTTAAAATAAATGGAGAGGAGAAAAAATCTAGATCATATTCTCCGTGAAAATTAATCAGCTGACCAAAGTCGCAATCCATTCTCTCTGTTTCTGAGTGCATTTTTGTTATGTGCTGAATAAAAATCTCACAGTGCAAATAGTTGCTTCTGTTACTGTTGAGTATGAATTCATCTTTCACAACAAGAATAATCTGGGAGCTGTTGTTTATGTTGAGCCTTTCTTCTTCCAGCCTGAGGACCTGGACTGGGGCAAAACTTCATACATGTCCTTAGATAAAGCAAATGACACCTAAAAATCATAGAATCATAGAATAGTTTGGGTTGGAAGGGACCTTTAAAGGTCATCTAGTCCACCCCTCCTGCAATGAGCAGGGACATCTTCAACTACATCAGGTTGCTCAGAGCCCAGTTCAGCCTGACCTTGAGTGTTTCCAGGGATGAGGCATCTACCACCTCTCTGGGCAACCTGTGCCAGCGTTTCACCACCCTCACTGTAAAAAAATTTCTTCCTTGTATCTAGTCTGAATCTACCCTCTTTTAGTTTAAAACCGTTACCCCTTGTCCTATCGTAACAGGCCCTGCTAAAAAGTCTGTCCCCATCTTTCTTATAAGCCCCCTTTAAGTATTGAAAGGCCGCAATAAGGTCTCCCCAGAGCCTTCTCTTCTCCAGGCTGAACAACCCCAACTCTCAGCCTTTCCTCATAGCAGAGGTGCTCCAGCCCTCTGATCATTTTTGCGGCCTCCTCTGGACCCGCTCCAACAGGGCCATGTCCTTCCTGTGCTGAGAACTCTAACCCTTACTAGGTTCAGAATAATGGAGCTATAAAAAGGTGCCAAACTGAGATGAGCTGAAAGAAAAGCTTTATTTCTGAAGATACACAAAGGGAATGACATAAGCTGTGACTGATGAGGTGTGTCTGAAATGTTGACAGTTATCAGGCAAATGGCATTTCATTCCTCTTGCCAGTGATGATGGAGCCCAGCTCAGCATTACAACCTACAGAAGCTGATCCACTTTTTCTTGGAAGTGTGGTTTCCTCCTTTTTAGGATTAAAAATATGAAACAAAAATATTTTGGTTCTTTGAAAATACATGTTTTATATGGAACAACTATCTGTCAGTTCCTGCCCTTAGAGTCAGTAATGGGAGGGATTTGTCTTAAGACAATATTTTCCTTCATTTTTTTCTGTCTATCTGACTCATAAGATCCTGGCTCCTTTTTTACACCACAGAGATGAGCTTACAAAGCAGTTATGATCCCTCTTGTCACTATGAATCTGGCAAACTTCTTCCAACAACAGGAAATTGGATAGTACAGTAATCTTTGCTCCTTGCTTTGGAGATTGTACTGGAAGATCTGGACTTTGGGGCTGATCTTGTGTCCAGAGACTAAAGCTCCCGTTAGCAGCAGCGGAGCAGGGTTGGATATGTAGTCCATGGACAGTGATTTGAGTACATAGAGAAAGGTAGGCATGCTGCTCCTTATATGGAACAGTATTTGTGCCTGGTAATTTTTTTAAATGAGAACTGGTCTGGTAAATCATATATTTCAGGAAAGTTCAAGTGAATGAAACTTTGAATGAAATCAAATGAAACTTTAAAAGAAAAAAAAAAAAGGGGAGAGAAAGACAAAGATATACCAAATATACATGGGGTGGGGAGTGGGAAATAATTCCATTTTGATTGTAAAAAGGATTATGTACTATGATGGTTATTTGCACACACAGAAATAAATGCCAAGCCTTAGGTTCTTTTTAGCTGTTTAGGGCAACAGAGCTAATCTATGAATAATGATCCAGCATATCAAACTAGTGGGTTCTCCTAACATCTATCATTGAACCCTACCCAAGATATTTGGAAGCAGAACATCAAAAATGAATGTCATCTGACAGCAGCCAGATCACTACCAGAGTTAAAATAGCCCTGGACATGTAGCTCATGATGCGTGATATACAAGTGGTACATATCCATTTACTGGGGGTGTTGTAGTGGTGAGGTTGTTTGAACTAACAACCATGCGTCGCATACTTCAGCACTCAGCTCTTGGGTCACAGATAAAAGAATCTACATTAGAAAGATATTTAACTGATATTTATGAGCAATATTATGAGACGTGGGATTTAGATACTCGTTTTGTTAGTTATTGTCTGAATATTCTAGCAGGCATAACAAAAGCATATTATTTGAGTGAGATCACTTACCCCTTTTCTTCTTTGGTGTAATCGTGTGATAGGTTGAGATATGTATTATAGTTTGCATTTGAAAACCATGCATTTGCGTTTGTACATTATGCCATAATAATTTAAAAAGTTTCTCCTACAGACAAAAGCATGTTTTGCCTGAGTTTTGTAGAGTTTAAAAAGGGCTTTTAAATCTTTGATACCATTCTTTCTACTGAGTTGCCTTAGCAGTAGCCACTGTAAGTTAGTGAAGTCTCTCTCTTACAAAGGATTGCAGCAGGAGGCCTCAGTTGCAGAAATAATAGAATATGATATATTGAAATGGAAATGAAGACTACAACCTTATAGTCTGGAAAAATCACTTGATAACACAAGACTGGTTTTATTTTTGTTATTATCTCAGACTTTTTTTATCTAATCACATCTGATTCTTTTAGTTATTTGTTGTCTTTCATCCATTCACTATAATGTCAATATTTTATGTGTCCCACATCTGATGTAATTTCACACATCTAACTTCTATTTGCCTTTTTGCATCTTTCTTTGTCAAGTATAATCTAATCTAATATGCTGTTTTTAAAAGCAAAAAAAGTTGCCAGAAAGCTGTGAGATCCTTTCTCATTAGCAAGATTTGATTTTTATGCGTTTCAATGCTGCAGTCTGCCACTTTCTGTTCCATTAAGTAAGCTAGTAGATGCTACTTTCAGAGGCAGCATAATCTGCTTTACATCCACAGACATAACCAAAGTCAGGAAAATTATTTTTTGACGTTCTGTATTAGTAAACCCCTAATAAATTACTGGGGGCAGGAAAAAAGCATTTTTCAAGTCTGCTGTAAATAATAGTGACAAAAAATTCATAGAAATTCTATTGTAATGGAAAATATTTTTACCTAAATATGCAGAATATTGCTTATAATGGACTCTAAAGTTGTCTGTCCTTTATCTGTGCAGATACTTCTGCATATTCCCTAAATGAAAGCAGCAACTTCTGTGGTGGCACACAGTAACTATAGAAACAAATAACATCCACTATGCTTAAATTAATAAAATCCTCTTTTTCTGAAATGTTGTGGGATGTTTTTTCCGTTTCAGAAATGAAATCTTGGCCATGTTTCTGATTTCCTCCCCCTCCGTTCTACTTCTACTCTAAACAGTTGCTCAAATTCAGTGTCTCTTATATTAAAATATTCAGCTAGCATAAAAGCTCAAGTAAATACTGAAGCTGTAGATTCCATGCTTGCAATAGGATCAGGCAGAAACATCCCCTATGTTGTGTGTTATTTCCCTATGTTGAAAGTTGTTCTGTGTTGCAGATTAAAACTGTGTTTAAAAAAAAAAAAATCTTATACCACTCCCCTACCCCAATTTTTCCAATTAAGCTCTTCTATTGTATATTTTATTGGCTGAAACAGAATCGGTATAATCTTTCCTAATCTTTTTCTGGTTCATTGCAAGGTCCATCAAAGCCAAAAAAAGCCTTTCCACCCACTTTAACTGAAGTTGGATCTATTTGACAGCTCTGACAGATTTTCGTGATCGTCACATGTAATGAGCTTTACGTCTTAATATGTTCGCCTTAAGAAAATGTTGTGCAGGAATTAGTATGACTTGAACTTCTACATGGATAATAAGTAAATAATCTATTTTGTTTTCTGTTGAGAAGTTTTGGGAAGTCAACACAGTGCCTGCATAGGGGGAAGATACATGTAAAGTATATGTAAAGTCCTGAGTGTGTCCGAAAAGCCACCACTTTATAAGAAAGTACAGGAAATGAAGAGTTATCAGAGGTCACCAGTCTGTGTATTTAGGTGAAGAAAATTACTATCAGGTGTTATATAAAATGGAATTTTATTGCTTTGGAATTAAGCAGTGTTATTGCTCAGCTCTAATAGGTATATAGCGTTTTTCTCCTTCAAAGTCCAGAAGACACATTTATTTATCAAAAGGAATGGATCATGATGATGAATTCTTGTTCTCACCAAGGTCACAGAAATAAGAGAGATCTCTTTGGCAGTATGGTGGTCAGTAGCAGAGACCAGACTGACTTCACAGCCTACCTTGATGTTGCAGTGCAGGAGCAGCCTTGATACCATCTGGAGATGGAAGTGCCAGAGTGTCCTCCAGATCAGCTTTGAATGACATAAAGAGTATAGCTGGGGAGAAACCTGGCCTGCAAGCATGTTTTGGAACACGCTTACTCTTAAGTGTGAATAGGCACTGGTACTCTATGCCTGACTGCTTTGATGTGCTCTAGCTGCCGTTGTATCAACATGGTATGGGCAATGTGAAGCATCTGAGATGGCACAAAGCTTTTCTTGAAAGACTCTCATGTCACAGGTGGGATTTGTAGGCAGTTTGAATTCAAGGCTAAAATATGTTGGGTTTATGGAGCTGAGTCAGAAGCACACCAGGTTTGGTCTGTTCGCAGCACCTACCATTTTAAGCAAATATATGCACAGCCTTAATTGACATACATTACTCCAACTTGGTCTCATCTGCCTCTGAATATCAAATTTTTTTGCTTTTTGCTGTTTAATTCAAGACTGATTTAATAGTGCTAAGCTTCACTGTGCCTCTTACAGTTGTTGCAAAGCACCCAAGTCAAGTGAGTTAGCCTTTACTAAGAAAGGTTTTGCAACTTATGCATGTTCTGAACACATTTAGGTCTGAACACCTTTGTTTCTGTTCTGGATTTTAAAACTACATGTTAAGCGCTTGTGATGGTGAACTGATTTCTCTGCCATTCTTCCTATATTTTGTAAATTTTCTATTTCTTGTAAAGATTTTTCATTCTAAAATTTTCTGTTTTCTTTAGGGAACAGCAATATTACAGTCTGGAGTCTTACCAGCTATACCAGGTAGGAGCCATTTAGTTATTTGCTTTGTTAAAGAATAATGCTTAAGTCCCAAATTGTGATGACAGAAAGAGATCTATGGAAGCAGAACTAAGGACTACATTGAGAGGTATCCTGTTTGCGGCTGGTTTTGCTGCTGCAATTCATGACTGTCAATTATGAAATACATTGTAATCTGTAGTATCTTTGCTTGCAAAGATTAATATATTTATTTTTACCTTCCTTCTGTAATCCAAAGAGGTGCAAAGTTGTCGATTTCCATACAAAGTTGTTTAGTGCTTTTTCTACTTACATAGTTGAAGAACATCAAGAAATTGTTCTTTTTAAGCTATATTAACACCAAGGGGAAACTTGATTTACATGTTCAGTGTGTATACCCAGTTTTCTAAACAACACAAAACACAGGAATGCTTCCTTACCAGAGGCAACAGGGAGATGCTTCTCTCATGTCAGTGGAACTACTGACCGACCGACCAAATCAGTAAAGGGAGGAAGCTGAGTATCTGGCCTGGAAAGATTATTTAGGCAAAGGTAACATGCTGACTTTTGTATCATCATTTTACTTCAAAGATAACATTTCGTAAACCTGTGGTTGTGTGTGTTGTCTCCACCTTGTTCTTTTGAGAGATCTGTGCGAAGAAGTCGTTTAGTATCCTAAACATCTTTATATTCCTTAAACCGTTTACCTGATAATTCAGTAGATCCATTGAATTATCAGGTTGCCTGCTTCCAATAGATATAGAATAGAAACTTTTGTGCTTGAGTTTCTTAATTACTTTTAAAAAGCTTGGCAAATATGTAAAGAAGTATAGCTGATTGATACTTGTGTGAACAAATCCAGTAAGATATCTAGGATCAGGAGGTGTCTCTGGAGAAGGTCATCAGTAACTCTATTCCTTTGTCTGTCTTAGCGGGAGAAAATCCAGAAGCATTTAGCAGATCTTGTTCCTAGTTATTCTGCTCGAGTCAGTGGAATTACTCTTGATTTATAGATGTGTAAGTAGAAGGACAAATTGGATCATTAACTCTAATTTTTTCTTTCCTTCTGGTACTCAGGTTTCCAGTCCTCTAATCAACACAAGGAAACCAGAGCACTTATGATTAAAGTGTGTGTAAATACAAGGGAACTTGGGTCTATAGCTGTGTGTGGTGGGCACAATATTATTTCTGCATTAATTTCAGTGGCAAATTAATTGTGGATGCAAGCAATATCTGACAAAAACTTAATCTCAGACTATTCCCGCAGATGAAGGAGTTAGCTGTTTTGATAAAACCTCTCATTAAGCAAATTGGAAATGTAGAAATACAGGACAGATTTTTGGCTCAACAGAAAGGGAAGATACAAAACTGAAGAAATTTGAGTGGGTGGGTTTTCATGTCTGGTACACTGGGAAAATATTGTTTAAGAAAAGAACGGAACACTGGTTGGAGTAAGTATGAATGCTTCAGGCAAATACAGCATCTAAAGCCAGTGACTAAAGATTTTGTGGGGTTTCATCTCTCAAATGCTTTCATCATATACCTGTATAACTTTATTCTTCAATACATTATTTTTCAGAATACAAAAGAAACGCATGGTTTCTCTGTCTCGTCACATTTTTATTATCCTCAGATATTTCATTTTAAAGTATTGTCTTCTATATGTGTGAACATTTCAAGTATAATTCAACTTGATCTTGCAAAGCTTTCAAAACAGTACTGTAGCCTTTGAATGTGTTGCTTCCACCATCTTTGATCCAAGCCATTAACTGAAGGCCCCTGGGTGCTGAGCAGTCATTCAAACAGGTCTGTTGGACTAAAGGAACAGCATTAGAACCTTTCTATGTTTCTCTATTATGATTTTTTAATCCATTGTTGAGGATAACATAAGGGCACATTAATTTGAGGTAACTACTTTCAAAACCTGTCTTGCACGTGTATGTGGCAAGATACCTCTACTAGCATGAATGACTGTACAATGACTCAATACACAGTTATAATGTTTGCTACTGTGCCAGTCCACTTTGTCATAAACGTATTTCTTTTTTATCACAGAAAGGATTGTGTTGTATTTTCATTCAAATACACTTGTACGAATGCAAACCCACTTCTTCCAGTGCTACAGATGCCCACATATTCTGTACAATATTTTTGCTCTTGAATGCCTCAGTTCTGTAGCAAGAAATGGAGTTAAAGTGCCAGTATCCATTGTTTAAATATTTTTCAGTTTATTGGTAGTGAATGTGGGTAATGATATTCTCTTTCTACTGTTAGTTATATATGCTGAGCAATAGGCTCAGCAACTTCAGAGAAATGTGTCTAATTGTAATGGCAAGCTGAAAAGTGTTCATAAAAGTGGCAACAATTCCGAATTGTATTACTAGATGGAAAAAACAAAGATGGGGTGAATAATTTAATCCTGGTTTAAATAATTTAGTTGCCTTTGTTATAAATAACTTCGTAAAGATTGATTAGAAAGAGAGACTAAATTAGATCGCTTGCATTTGTAGGAGGGAAGTGTTCCCATTGTTATCATAGCTTTGTACTAGAGAGCAAGGTAAGGGATTCTTTGTAGTTGTATGATGTGGGCATGCCAGCTCTTAAGTATAATAGACTGCATTTATGGTTACTATGGACCTTAAAATACCATGACAGGATAGAGGTTCAAAAATGTGATTCAGATTTCCTAATTTCTGAGACTGCTGGATTCTGGAGGCACCTAGGTTTAGTACAGTTCATCTAAGAAGTTCTCATGGGACCTATACAGAGTTTCTCATGAATGCTTAAGAAGTTTTGTAGCATGATCTAGTGGATGCAATTTCGGAGATATGTATGTAGGTCCTTTTCTCAGGAGCTGCTTATGTGTTTTGAATTAAGGGATCATGAAGGAGATGCACATTCAGTGTTGAGAGGTGGAACCAAAAGACAGCACATTTCACAGAATGGTGAGCTGAAGAGCTTGTCATGATCTTTATTATCTTTCTGGTACTATGAATCAAAGTATGGTACTTCATGCTCTCCTCCAAAATATTTGGATTTTCTCAGTTGAGTACAACTCAGTCACAGCTCTCTTGTTTTATCAATGATGTTCAAACCATGAGGTTGTTTTGTGGGGGGCGTGGGAAATGCCACTATTTCTGTCCTTGGTTGCCAAACCTTCCAAGTAATCCGAGCAGTTTGAATCCCAAGACTCCTATTTAGAGAAGCTAAATTGAGAGCCAGTTTGCAGAAGTGTTCAGGGTCCCTCTGCAATGCCTGCCAAAGGCATTTCAGGCAAGCTGTATGCACCATATTTCAGAAACTTTTGACCCTTCCCATCAGCTACAGGGAAGCTGATTGCCTAGGCATTCCCAGGAGCCAGACCCAACCTTGGGCATTTCAACGCCCAAATTAAACATCTATAGTGGGAGATCTGATCTCCCTGTTCTTCTGTGCTGCAGGCTCTGGCATTACAAAAATTAATAGCTGAATGGGAAAATAAATTAACAAATATCCTTCCATGGAAGCAACATGCTTTAATATTGCTAAGTTTTGTAACCTTTAAATTCTCTTTTATTTTTGTCTGTGCAGTTCTATTTTTTCCATATTCCATAGGAGCAAATTCATCAGCACTGCAACAGACACTTTTGCTATTTGACAGCCTCTTTGCTTGTAATACCAGACCTACACAGTGCTTGATGGGAAATGTTCTGAGAGGATGAATTAAGGAATAAACATAAAACAATGCTGTGGATTGGAATTCAGCTGAAATGTCAGCTAAATGCTGATTATGAACATTGTATCTCTATTAAATTGTTCTTAGGTAGACAGGGAGTCAAGGAAGGGAGATAAAAAGAAAGAATAAAATTAAGTATATAACAGGTGATGAGTGCTGAAAATGAACTCAGCTGTCTGACAACTTAGCTTTTATGATGGACAAATAGGCTTTCTTTCATGCGTTTTTAAAGATTTTATTGCAAACCTATGCAGCCTGATACTTCTATTCCAAGCTTAGGAGTAAGCTTTCAAGGAATTAATTGAAAGCAGTGAGAAAGAAGAATCTGGGTCATACTGTGTTGGTTGCTGTTGCTTAGGTTGAAAATAATTTATAATTCACAAATTTTTTTTCAGGAAATGTGTTGTCAGCCCTTCAGATGTAGGAAGACAAAGTACGCTATAATTTTATTGAGCCAGTAAAGGACTGTGTGAACAATGTCCACCATAAACATGTCATACCTCATAGGGCTAAACACTATAACAGAAGAGCATTATTGTAATGAGAAACTGATTAATAAAACCAGTTGTTCTCAGGGTACCCAGCCCCGTGAGCTAGAAGACAGGGACAGGGAGCAGAATGAAGCCCCCATAATCCAAGTGGAAATGGTTAGCGACCTGCTACACCGCTTAGACACGCACCAGTCTATAGGGCCAGATGGGATCCACCCAAGGGTACTGAGGGAGCTGGTGGAAGTGCTCCCTAAGCCACTTTCCATCATCTATCAGCAGTCCTGGCTAACCGGCGAGGTCCCAGTTGACTGGAGGTTAGCAAACATGACGCCCATCTACAAGGCGGAAGGAGGATCCGGGGAACTACAGGCCTGTCAGCCTGACCTTGGTGCTGGGGAGGGTCATGGAGCAGATCATCCTGAGTGCCATCACGCAGCACGTGCGGGACAGCCACGGGATCAGGCACAGTCAGTATGGGTTTATGAAAGGCAGGTCCTGCTTGGCTAACCTGATCTCCTTCTATGACAAGGTGACCCACTTAGTGGATGAGGGAAAGGCTGTGGATGTTGTCTACCTGGACTTTAGTAAGGCCTTTGACACCGTTTCCCACAGCATTCTCCTGGAGAAACTGGCTGCTTGTGGCTTGAACGGGAGTACTCTTCGCTGGGTAAAAAACTGGCTGGATGGCTGGGCCCAAAGAGTTGAGGCAAATGGAGTTAAATCCAGTTTGTGGCCAGTCACGAGTGGTGTTCCCCAGGGCTCAGTACTGGGGCCAGTTCTGTTTAATATCTTTATCAACGATCTGGACGAGGGGATCA